CCCGCCCCGCCACGCCTCGTCCGTCGTGTCGCACCGCGTATCGCGACAGTCCGTGTGTCTCCCACCCCTCCCCACCCTCCTCTGCTCGACGTGTTGCGGGGCTCACATCCTGCGGCACCCACACACGCTCCGTCTCATTCGCTCCCCCATACTCTCTATACTCACTATACTCGCGACCACGCAAAAGTGTGCGGAAAAGGCCCTAGAGAAAAAGATAGCTGGGAATTGTTTCATTTTAACTGTATTTAACAAAAATTTTGACTGGGTTTAACTGAGTATTGGTGAGTGTGACTGGCTTTAACCGAATATACCCGGATATTCTCGGCTTTTACCCGATTTTACACTTAATTTTACTGATTATACTGACCCCACTTTTTGCCTTACTGGAATTGATACGAATATGACTGATTTTGACTGAGGGTCTCCAAACTTGCAAAAATGTTGGCTTCGCCAGTTTTACCGTAACGTTGAAAGCAGAGCGCTGCGGAGGCGGCGCGCGCACATCAGCACTACATATTTAATAACGGAAAATGATTTTCCGGAAAGCGCTGACGGGATGACGCGCCCCTTTTGTGCAGGCCAGGCTCTGCCGACACGCTCGCTCCTCACGTGTGTGATGTATCGCCCTGTTGCAGAGCCGCCGGAGAGCCATGGAGAGCCGCTGGACCCTCGTCGCCCTCACGGCCGCCGCCATCATGGTGCTGCTCGTCACAGGTGAGTGTCACTGTCACACCGTCACGCGCGTACGAGCAGCTCGTTAGCTGGAACCTCAATCCAGGACAGCCGACGCAGCTTAACTGAGCATGAGCTAATCAACGGTTTTGTTGTTGCCGTACCTTAATTTTTTTTCCTATATGTATAAAACGTAGTAACCAAGGAGGCGATCTCATAAATTGCACCCAACGTCTCATGAATACACATGAGCCTAAACTAAAAGGAGTGAAAAACATGTTCAAATAGCAGTTTTTTGGGGTCCGTTTCCATTGCAATCCACCGTAGTGGCAATCAACGTCCTCCAGGCGCAGCGCGGGGAACTGGCGCCGCCGCCATTCTCCGTGCGCGACCAGCGGTCTATGATTCATTACGATTATTGTCGATCTTTACGACCGGTCCCCCCGCCCCGCCCTCTTTTTCCTCTCCCTTTCCCGTCGAAAAACTCTCTCGCCCCGCCCCTTCGATCCGAAACCTTCCAGCTTCTTTACTGCGCGCGTGGATGGCGTTCCGGCTCTGGAGGCGGGGCGGGGGGGGGGGGGGGGGGGGTGATGGTCCTGCATTTACCCAGTGGTGCGCGGGGCGGGAAATGGACTAGAGGTGTCTGAAATAGAATAAGGAACACAGAGCGCCCCGACGCCCCGAGGGGAGGGGTGGGTGAGGACGCTGTTGTGGTGGTTGTGGTTGCGGCGGGCCCCACGCCCTGCTTTGCCTGCGGTAACGCGCGCGGGTCCCTGAAACGGAATTCAAGAAGATAGTCGGGTGGGTCTCTCTCTCTCTCTCTCTCTCTCTCTCTCTCTCTCTCTCTCTCTCTCTC